GAGCCCCTGTGGAACGAGCAGATCGTGTTCACCGAGATGTTCCCCCCCCTGTGCAAGAGGATCAAGGTCCAGATCCGGGACTCGGACAAGGTCAACGACGTGGCCATCGGGACCCACTTCATCGACCTGAGGAAGATCTCCAACGAGGGGGACAAGGGTGAGGCTGGGCTGGCCTGGGCGGTGCTGGGGAGGAGTTGGACCCCGGGATCCCGGAGGGATCTTCCACCCTGAGCCATCCCTAAGGGTTCTGTGCCATCCTGGCACCGTCCCAGCTCTCCACAATTCCCCGGCAGGAGGTTTTCAGGAGGTGGAGGGTTCCCAGTTCCCAGGGAATGAGGGACAGGAGGAGAGGGAACGGCCTCCAGCTGTGCCAGGGGAGGGGCAGGGGGGACAGCAGGAGGAATTTGTCCCTGGAAAGGGTGGTCAGGCCCTGGCAGGGGCTGCCCAGGGAGGTTTGGAGTGCCCAGCCCTGCAGGTGTCCCAGGCAGGCCTGGCCGTGGCACTCAGAGCTCTGGGCTGGGGGACAGGGTGGGGATTGGGAACAGGGGCTGGGAGGGCTTTTCCCAGCTGGATAATCCCATGGGAACTGTGCCCAGGGGTGGCTGCAGCCACGGACACCCCCAGGGCACGTTCCAGGCCCCGTCCCCACACACAGACCCAGGGAGTGACCCCAACCCGGGTGTTCCTGCCCCGATCCCGAGGCACACCCTTCTCCTGGCACATCCATGCCCGTTCCATGCCCCCTCCCACGCCCTGCAGGCTTCCTGCCCACCTTCGGCCCCGCCTGGGTGAACATGTACGGCTCCACCCGCAACTACACCCTGATGGACGAGCACCAGGAGCTCAACGAGGGGCTGGGCGAGGGCGTCTCCTTCCGGGCCCGGCTCCTGCTGGGGCTCTCCGTGGAGATCCTGGACACCACCAACCCCGAGATCAACAGCTCCACAGAGGTGCAGGTGGAGCAGGCCCCGGCCCCGCCGGAGGTCAGTCCCATCCCACCCCACCCCCACGGGCTGTGGGGGGGCTCTCTGCTCCTTCCCATTCCTCAGGAATTCCAGCCAGAAGGAATGTCTGAGGGGCCCTGGTGCAGGTTAAATCCCAGGGGAGCTGTGGCTGCCCCTGGATCCCTGGGAGTGTCCTGGGATAGCAGGAGGTGTCCCTGCAGGGTTTGGGACTGGGGGGGGGGGATGAGCTTTAAGATCCCCTCCCAGCCCCAACCACCCCGTGGTTTCTGTTACCTCCTGAGCTCTGAGGGTGGACAGGGACAAGGAGGCACCTCCTGGTCTCAAAGAGGAGCCAAGAACTTCCTCTGTTTCCCAGCCAGGGGGAGGGGGAATGAAAGCACCCGGAGATAAAGCCATTCCCGCCCCAAAGGAGCACCCGGGGGGGTGGGTTTGGGTGGTTTGGTTAATCCACCCCCTGATCCAACTGCTGGCCGTGCCCTGGGCAGCCCCTCACCTGCAAGGGGTGACTGGAAAGGTCGCCTTTGATTAGGAGGGTTTTTTTCCCAGTGAAATCCTTGATTAAACCCTCTGGAACGAACCAAGAGACCAGGAGAGGAAACCCTGAAGTGCCAAGAGTGGCACCTCGCCCTGAGGGCGCTCGGGGGTGTCCCCCTGTCCCCCCCCAATCCCTGTGACCTCTCCCTCCCTCAGAACTGCACCGGGAAGATGGAGGAATTCTTCCTCTTCGGGGCCTTCCTGGAGGCCACCATGATCGACAGGAGGATCGGGGACAAGCCCATCCACTTTGAGGTCACCATAGGTGTGTGGGGTTTTTTTTTGGGGGGGGGGGATACTCTGAGGCCTGGCTGGAGGGA